ACTTGTGATTGACTTAACACGTTCATAGAAGATTAATCCAAAAATATATTTAGTGATATTCACATGAAGTAACTATAACTTCCCAACTATAATTGCAGGGTGATAAGCACTTACCACTAAAGAAAAGTGGAAGGCCTGCAAGAAGACAGCAACATCTGATTGTTCGGCCAATCCAGCAACATCTACAGGAATGACAGAGCTGTGGATAATTGTAGGGGCCACTTCAGCACTGCCTATAGCTGTATTAGCATTGGTTATCTGCCGATCCTTCAAGGCGGGCATGGAGATGATTGGGGATTCGACGGTCGCTATCTTTATGGTAGAGATTGGAGACGACGCAGTAGTAGTGGAAGAATCTAATCAACTTTTCTTTCAGACCTCTACTGATTGGTTATAAGGGCGCTTACCCGATCTTTAGCCAAAGGTTGGGGGCAACGTTCTCAACAGTTGCCATGATAGGAGAAGAAAATGAACCATCTACCACTAAAATCGGTGATCATTAGGGCCGATCAGATGTAGCAGGATCAGAAATAGCCTGGGAGGCTGAGGGTGACTCAGCAGCCCTTTGACGCTTTCTAGCGACAACAATCTCCAAAAAATTCTTTAGTGGCATGGCATGATGTCTGAAATAGTAGCCTCCGAACTAGATGACTCTTCTTGAGGTTGTTCTTGTTCAGGTGCTACTTCCTCGATGTTCTCCCGAAGATGAGGAAGAATATAAAAATCAAAGCCACTGTCAGCACTAAGATCTATACCGTCAGTCACGATCATGGTACCATAGTAAGGGATGTAGGAAAGCAGCACGTGGGCAACTTGACCTTGGCCTTGCTGTTCTGGTGGCCATTTATAAGACCAAGCTTGTTGTAGAAGAGGGAGGTTCACTTGATCTTTCCACTCGCTAGGATTAGAAAAGACCTTAGGAGCTACAAAAAATGACAAGAAAGCATTAACAAACTGCAATCATAAAGGACGACATCATAGGCAAGTAGAAAGAAAGAGGATAACCTGGTCAGCCAATGACCTTGAAAATATGTCGAATTCGATTAGCACTAGGAGTGAATTTCCAATTCCCCTCTATTATTACAAACAAATCGTTGACATCCTTGCCAGAGTCAGGAAGCATCTGAACAAGTTGACACTTCGCTGATCTGGGCTTGAAGTAAAACTTCGACCTTTCTTTGGAAGTAAGGACAAAATTATAACAATATCTAATCTTCAAAAGGCCTAGATTGATCCTTAAGATATTGTTCAAGGCAACCACGCCCATAACTATTCTGAAAAAGTTGGGGAAAAGTTAGGAAGGAGGTACCTCATAAAAATGAAACACCTCTCTGAGAAGAGGATGTAGGGGGAATTGAACTCCTCCCTTGACTATGTTTATCAAAGGGAGATGAATTTGTTCCTTAGATCCCTCCGAGTTACTATCACCAGAATAAGGAGATGGACGACAACATCATCAAGAATGTTATACAGAGTTCTAAACTCCGTAATACTTTCCTCGGACTCTAAGAAATATCTTAGCCAATTCGTGGTGAAAATAAAAGAAACCAGCAAAAGAAAAAGCAAAAAGAAATTCAAAATCACAATAAGCAAACAAGAGAAAAAACTTACAAGGATTATAGACTAAAACTTCAAGCGAAGGACAGAGGAATGCGTATAGGGTTTTGAGAAGACGATGAACAAGGAGGTGAAGAGCAAGAGACAACCCCTCAATTAATATGTCAGAAGCGAGATGGCGCACTAAAAGGCAAAGTGACGGGCTTCATCATTTAATTTAAAACTACTCAAAAAGACGCATGTCATAGGCAGGGGTATCGACCCGGATTTCGACTAGATTGGCCATGATGTCTTTGGCAATCCGCTACAAAGGATCTCCGAAAAGGGGCAATTATTGAGAGGTGAAAACATTGACCCAAAGCCCAGAGGTAAAAACATTCGCCCAAAACCCAAGCCTAGCAAAGTAGGACAGATCAAGAGAAAAGCCCAAATCATCACCAGGTCCATAAAGGAAGAGACAGTGTCACGTGACTAAAACTTAAGTAAAATCACCTTTCAAAAGGAGATCTGCAGAATGCAGGGATGCACTTCGATCCATTTATAATCAACGGTGAGGACCACAATTGTCAGAGCTAGGGGCATAGGCTTAGCCTACCCAAACGACACAACTATCCGATGATCTAAATCCAACAGGCGAACAATTGGCAAGTTGGCCACAGACATCTAAGCTGATCTAAGTCACCACCTCAAGGTGATCCAGCGATAAAGGATCAAAACAACCTGGCCACTTGCCTGACCAAAGTCTGGTAGTAAGCAGAGCCCTCGGATTATGATGATCATCCAATGGCCAAAGCCCAAGACGATAGCACTATAAAAAGAGGAATAAGAAAAGCAAAGAGGGTAAAAAAAACAAGTCTTTCTTCTCAACAAAATACAATATGACTGGTCACCATTCTGACTTAACCGTTGGAGGGTCCTCCTTACTATCCCTGGTCGGGAGTGATCACTAACAAGTTGGTTTCTGTTTTCAGAGTATAGGAAGGAGCACTTCATCTCACTTTCTCTGTGGAGAAAATTTCTACCTTCCATAGAATCCATTTTGAAGTCTAAGTTTTCACCGGTTATTGGCCCTACCCTTTTTGTTGCTACTTTGTGCAAATCTGGAAAAACTGAAATCTTTTAATTTTTGAAAACAAATTTACTCCTTGATAACACAATATTTATAACATCCAAAGATTTGGTTCTGAATGCGGTTAGTTTAAATGTAAATTCATGTCTTATCTGATGGGTTTATTGTTATTATTTTGAGGGCGTTACAAACAAGTTAGTTTCTGTTTTCAGAGTATAGGAAGGAGCACTTCATCTCACTTTCTTTGTGGAGAAAATTTCTACCTTCCATAGAATCCATTTTGAAGTCTAAGTTTTCATCGGTTATTGGCCCTACCCTTTTTGTTGCTACTTTGTGCAAATCTGGAAAAACTGAAATCTTTTAATTTTTGAAAACAAATTTACTCCTTGATAACATAATATTTGTAACATCCAAAGATTTGCTTCTGAAATAAAAGATGTTTTTAAATGCTCTATTGTTTATCCTTCAACTAATTTGCTGGTTGTGTGGACTCCTCCCTTTGCAGGAAAATTGAAGATGAACATGGATGACAGCTCGGGAGGTGACCCAAGCGATGGCTATTTGAGGGCTGATCTGCGATGAGAAAGGAATTTGGCTTTGCGGCTTCAACAGAAAACTTACCAACTACTCAAGCATTGAGGCAAGAATCTAGGCCATTTAACGAGGTTTGACAATTGCTTTTGAGAAGGGCTACAAGAATCTAATCATAGAGACCGATTTTGTGGAAGCCATTGACTTGCAGAAGGAGAAAGTTAAGGTTATTTCTTCTCTTCGAAGTTTGGTGGAAGACTCTAAGTTCCTCATCTGAAGATGCAGCTACACAATTCAACATGCCTTAAGAGCAACATAAGTGCCGATGGTTTGGCTAAGCTGGGCACAAATCAAGATAAATCGCTGATTGTCATAGAAGACCCTCAAATGGGATCTGCAACCAAGTTATGGCTGATTTGATTGGACAAAGCTACCTTAGAAAGGGGCTAGTGGTTCTTAGTTTCTCTTTTTTATTTTTTTTGTTTGCATGTTTCGTCTGTTTTAAATTTTTCGATGTACCAAGAAAAAAAGAAAAAAAAAGAAAAACTTATGAATCCTCTGAAAGCTATTATTGAATTTTGATTGGGGGGTTAGATCATCTCTATCAGTTCCCTTATAATAGCTAATTCTTCAGAAATTCTTCTCCAACAGATCCCTTATGCCATCCCTTATATGAAGGATTGCTACAGTGACTTCCTATTTGTAAGGAGTCACTGTAGCTCCCTTATATATGATAAATTCTTATTTTATTTCGTTGAAGGCTTGAGGAGAAGTCCCTTAGATGTCTTTCCGGACGTCTCCTCGGACATCTGTCCGGATATCCGTGAGTGCCTTGTAGCTAAAGAAGAAAATGCTCAAAAATGACCTAACCGGTTGTCCACCCGAACGTCCGGCCGGTCAACCTCTCGGACGTCTGGCCCTTGCCTTTGCTTTTGCTGCTTTCTTCTGTAATTGATTGACTTTAAAGGCAGTGCTACAAAGCCTCAATTTTTGACTTCAAATGATATTGTTTAATTATTTTAGGGCAAATTACACAAATAGTCCCTAAGTTTGAGACTCATGTCACTTTGGTCCCTGACTTTTCAATTGTGACACATTTGTCCTTGAATTTTTAATCTTGTTTCAAATAAGGACAATTGAAGATAATATTGTTTAATTTCAAGGGCAAAATAGTCAATTTAATAAAATATAAACTAATTTGACAAAAATAAATGTCAAAAAAATATTTGTAATTTTTTAAAAATTATTTTTATCTACCAACGAAAAAATTATGTAAAATTGATAAAAATTACATAATTAATTTTTTAAAATTAATTTTACATGATCATCATCCAAACACATAATAAAAATTAATTTGGTAAAAAAAAATAAATGTCTAAAAGATTTATCAATTTTACATAATTTTATTTTTAGTAGGTATAAATAATTTTTAAAAATTTAAAAATATTTGTTTGACATTTATTTTTGTCAAATTAGTTTATATTTTATCAAATTGACAATTTTACTCTTGAAAAATCTAATGATATCTTCAATTGTCCTTATTTAGAATAAGATTCAAAATTCAAGGTCAAATGTGTAACAATTGAAAAGTCAGGGATCAAAATAATACAAGTTCCAAATTATAGGGACTATTAGTGTAATTCACATATTATTTTATTATTGAAAATATTCAAATTTAAAAATAATTAAAAAGATTATTTTAATAGAATAAGAAAAGAATAGAGAGTTTGCCGGAGAAGTTGGATGAAAAAATAATTCTTAAAATAGGAAATAAATTTTTTAATAATAAGAATTGTTAAAATAGGAAATAAATTTTTTAATAATATTTTTGGGTAAAATTTAGGCAAGCTACTCTTCTTCAATGTGATATGATGTAGCCAATTTTGCTCCTCAGATCCGTCTCCTCTCCTCTCTCTTTCGACCTCTCTCTTTGTTATCTTCACCTTTGCTTTGTCCATCTCTATCTCCACCCGGTCATCCATGCGTCACTCTATCTCTCGCGCAGATCCCTCCATCTCTATCTCCACAGATCCTCCCTGCCTCTCTCTTCCCTCTGTTTTGTCTCTCTCTAAACCCTAAACCCTTTGGATCTCTCTATATTCGATCCATCTGACAAACCCAAAACCATTGAAATCGACTCCTTCAAATCGTCGAAGTAAAAACAAACCCTAAGACAAAGCAAGCAGATGAAGAAGATGAACAAGACAAAAGCTTGAGATTGCTGAAATCGTCTGAAATCCATCACGCGGCTTCAAATCGAGGTATTTATTTTTTTGAAATCTTCTCTCTGATGATGGAGAATTGCTTAAAATTTGGCACAAACTTTGGCATTGCCATAATTTGGCAGCCAATATAGCTTTTTGCCAATTATTGCCAAAATTTGGCAATGCCAGCTCCATTGGCAGCCCACTGTGGATGTTCATATGTATAAATTATTTTGATGGTTTATTACCTTTGATGTTAAACCTTTCATTCTTTGTTATGTAGGCTTATTACTATTATGTACTCATGATCGTTATGTTTATTTATTCCTTTTTTATTTAAAAATTAACAATATTAAACCTCATTAGGTTAAGTCGTGGTAAGTTAACATAATTTCTTAAAATTCTTGTCTATCCTAATTTGTTTCACCAGTAAGAGTTATTTTCTTATTTTACAATGTTTAAATTAAATATCGTTAGGTTAAGTGCTGTTATGTTAATTTAAAATTTTAAAATACATGCCAATCCTTATTATTTTTCCAATTTTAAAAACTGACAATAATATTTATGGTCATTGTACATGCAGGAGATAAACAATTCAATGATTGTAAATTTTATTTTACGCAATTAGAGTCCACTTTTTATTGATATCTTATATTTGTTATAAAAATGTTACAAAAGTACATAGTAATTTAACACAAACATGGTTCTTTCTAGATAAAAATTCTTAAGATATAAAAAGAGTTGATTTACTCATAAAACTGTGAAAAGAGGGGGCCAATCTTTGTATACTCTCATGATGTGGCATTTTGAAAATGTAAGTATTTAGAGTGGCACGTAAGCACCGATTAGTTGAGAGTAAAAGATTTGGGTTAAACTTTACTTTTATTACTGTACATTAGACGAGGTTAAGAAAGAAAGACAAAGTAATTTTGTATTATTACGTATTTGTCTGCTCAAAGCCTTTTGGCCCCGTTTGTTTTAAGCTATAGGGAGGGTATTGGGATTAGTAATACCAAGGTATTACTAGTGCCCTTGTTTGTTTGGAGAGATAGCCTTGAGACTATTAGTCCCTTGGTATTACTAATACCCTTGGAAGGGGGATTGGTAAAGAAGAAGTAGAGATGGTATTAGAAAATAGTGAGGGGATTAGAAATTTTTTTATTTGTTATATATTGGGAATTTTTTTTTAAATATAATGTTTAATTTTTTATATTTTTTTATTTGTTTTATTATTTTATATAAAAATAATTTAACAATTCCTCATTATTAATCCCCTCACTATTAATCCCCTCACTATCAATCCCCTCACTAACAATCCTCTCACTATTAATCCCTTCACTATCAATCCGCTCCATTCTATCTCCCAAAACAAACGGGGCCTTTTGGTAAAGGGTGACATATGGATGGGTTGGGTTGGGTCAGGTGAAGATGGGTCTTGTGGTTAAATGGATTAACCCTGAACCTGCCCAGTTAGCAAACAAGTTATACTTGGACAGATTTAGCTGTGCACTGGTTGGGCACATGGACCCATTTTGATCAGTTTAATTACTTATCTCTGCCAAGAACCATTTTTAGCTGACCATTTTATGAGTATCTTTTTTTGGATCCAATCCATTTTCGTGGCCCGACCCATTGGCTAAGATTTGTTTTCCCATTCCTTGGTACAATTGTTCTAGTGGCTAGCCTGTTGAACACTATAATTACAAGTGGGTGGTTTAATTAAAAATTCCTAGTGAACAAAAAGGCAGAAACTTTTTCTCTTGTTCTTGGTCTTAAATGTTTAAGTAAATAAAAAGTATTACTGCTGTAAGGTCAATCTTGTTTTTGCTTTAAGCAATATGCAGCCCAAAGTTCAATTGTTACACTCATGTGATGAGCCAAATTGACACTGTTTCACTCATGTGGTGTTCTCACTGGCTAAGTCTCATGGAGGGCTCCTGAATGTCCATCATAAAGATGCTGAAAAAACAAATAGAATCCAATTATTTATTTATTATTTTTATTTTTTTATACATCAACTGGGGTTGGATGTTAGTTGTTAAGGGAAGGGGAACCAAAAAGAGTGTCAAACTCTTCCCCATAAGATTTGAATTCAAAACCTCACACTACAAAGTGGTGCCGCACAATCACAAGGCCAAGGCCGTTGTTAACTAGAAACTAATTTAGTGCATTGATTTCTTCTTTTTGGTAATTTCAAGTTAAACAATTTGGTTTTGACGTAGGACCAAGTGCTTTGGAATCACTATAATACTAGATCTAATACTAAACCTATGAAGCACGGGTACTCCAAAAATGTTGCCGTACAAGTACCGGGTACTTCTCGGGTGCGGGTACGTGTACCGGTACGGCTGCACTCGTACCGGGTACGCAAAAAACGCACCGGGTACGTTTTATATGGTTAGTATACTAATGGGTACGCCATGGGTACACCACGGGTACGCCATGGGTACGTTTTGGGTACTCCGGGGTAAAAAATGAGATTTTTTTATAAATTAAAGGGTACCGGAGCAGTTTTTTATGTCTATTTTAAAGAATTATAAAAATCTGGGGTTCTTTTGTAATAAATAAAACATAAATAAAAAATGAAACCAAATAAAATTAGGGTTCTTTATTCGCTCTATCATTCAATCAGCTCAGCTCCTTCCAGATCTCATTCCGAAATACTCCAAGGCTGAAGAACTTCGAAGGTGCTAGGGTTCCATGTCTATTCGATCATCTCCTTCCAGAAATACTCCCAAGAGAGTTTGAAGAACACTGCGAAGGTGCGATTGAAAGGTTTAATCGAAGGTGCTGCTGATTGATTCTCTCATTCGAAGGTGCGATTGAAGAGGTAAGTTCAGCTTCAATTCTTTCCCCTTTTCTTCTTCGATTCTTTATCCTCTTTCTTTCATTTTTTTTCCCCAGATTTTTGTGCTGTTTCTTCGCTGCAAACGATCGATTCTTCTTTTCTCTTTGGTTTTCTCTTTCTTTGATCCTTCATTTTCTTCATCATTTTTCTTGAACCTTTTTTTTTTTTTTTTCCTGATATATGCCAGATTTTTGAACTAAAATCTGTCCAGATTTTTGAACTAAGATTTGTCCTTGTTTTGTTTTTCTTTTGATATATGTCCAGCTTTTTGAACTTGAACTAAGATCTGTCCATATATATATATATATATATTTTTTTTTCTGATATATGTCCAGTTATTTGAACTAAAATCTGTCCAGATTTGTTGAATTAAGATCTGTCCTTATTTTTTTAATTTTTTTTTTCTGATGTATGTCATATATATATGCAATATGATATTGGTTGTAAAGCTTGACGATAAATTAAAATCCCTTGACACCTTAAATTCTCTTTCGTGGCCGTTTATTTTGAGGGGGAGGGATGGGGGTTTTGTAACTGAAAAACAGAGCATTAATTTGTGATGCATAACCATTGGTTTTGAGTTAAGTTAAGTTATCTATCTGTTTCCACATTGGTTAATTTCCTTGCAATGCTTGATGTTGTGGGTGGATATGATTGGTTATTGTTTCATTGTCTTTCATGAACTAAAATTGAGAGATACTTTGTAGGTCAATATGGGAGTCGGATTGAAAGGTGTTGTAGTGTCCTTGTTCTTGTCATACTTGTCACTGAAATAAATTATGATCACAGACTCACAGTGCATAACATGTCAAAGTGAGATTTCACAAATATTATTAAAAAATATCTTGTCATATTTGTCTTTTAGTTTTGTAGTTCTCTTTTTAGTTTTGATATTTAATTTTAATTTGTAGGTTGGATCCTTTAACCATAATTATAAAAAAAATAAAAAAAAATATCGGCGTACCGCAGCCGTACCCGTATCATATTTTTTGGGGGTTTTTCCGTATCGGCGTACCCGCAATCGTACCCGTACCGTACTCATACCCGCAACCGTGCTTCCTAGTACTAAACTCATGTAGGGAAGATTAGGAAACTTACAGAAATGCTCATCATAGCTGGGGTTTATGGCTGATTAAGTAATGAAAAGTTAGGTAGCTTACCGAGTTAAAATCAATGCTACAATTGGTTTGATTTCAAACTGTGAGCTTGTTGGATTTTGTACTATTTTACGTGTTTGGGGTTGCGTTCAAAATGTCAAAAGGTCGGGGAAAGAGAGGAAAGAGTTCTGTTTTATTGGTGTTTTAAGCATTTAATAGGGGCCCTTTTTGAAAGCTTTGATGATTTAACTCCTAAAAAATAGCCTGGCTTTCATGAGCAAGGAGAAGGATTCATAGGAACAAGATGGAGAATATTTTAGGTTTCTATTTGAGTTTATTCCTTCAGAGCTGCACCTGAAGCAAGGTTGCCATACATTATACAAAGTTCCAAATTTTCTCAAAAAAATTTGGAAATCAATTCTATTGATTAGACTTATTGACATGCATGTCCCATATGTAGGTTGTCGGGTTCTAATTCAACTTGGTCTGAAACTTCAGAAATAGAAACTGAGGTCCTTTGACTTGTTGAAAAAATCTAGATCATATAAATTCTCCATAAAACCATAACTTAGCATACAATACAACCCATGGACCAAAACCATAGCCCCTGTCAAGTGAATTTTGAAAATTAGCAAATGATCCCTAACATTTAATCTAAGAAAGGCAAAGTTTTTAAAGGTGAATGCGTAATGTGAGGCGTTTTATCCCTCATGAGGTGAGGCGTAAGCCTTAAGGTATTGAGGCGTAAGCATTTCAAATTCTGAATTTTTATATTTAGTAAATATTTTAAAACAAAAAATAAATACATCAAAATTAAATATAAAGGTGTAAATACTTTTATGCTCAAGGCTCATTGCAGAGAATGAAGCTTTGCTTTATTAAAAGTGAAATTGGTATTCTTAGTTTTGGTGATTGAGCTTCTCACTGAGCATTAACTTTGTGTTTTTTCTTGATTAGTCATACTTAATTTTTCCTATAAAATATAGTTGTAAAATGGTTCTTTTTTATTTTTTGTATTTAAACCATCTACTAGAGTAAGTTTAATAAGACCCTAAGACAAACTCTTCATATGTGTACTCCTCACATGCTTATGCGTAAAAGACGTACAAGGCGCACCTGAAGCGCATGTCTCAGACTATGTGCACAAGCCTTTGGGGAGTAAAGCCTAAGAATCAAAGCCTTAAGGCGTTTTTCGTTAGCTTCGCCTCGAGGCGAGCATTGAGGCAGGCCTCAGTAAAGCCTTTTAAAGGTAATAAGAGATAAATAAAATTGCACAATAGGCTATTGAGCTACTACAAAAAGTAGAGGTGCGCAAATGAATAGATGAACTTGCAAACTGAACCAATCAGGTCTTCATAGTTGGGCTTGTTCGTTATGGGAAAGCTTGCCTTCAATGTAGTATTCTAGGAATAAAGAAAATAAATAAAAAGGAATCATGGCTTGTATTCTTGGAAGATTGAAATTCCTTTTTTGTTTTTTTTTTGGGACATGAAACTTCTGCTAGGAAGCAATAAGGACAGTATTATGGGCCTGAGTGTTTGGAAATAAAATTAGTGGCTTGAGTGATTTGTAGATCAGACTTGTACATATAAGTAGACTTGTAGATATTTGTATAGATATTTCTAGAAGACATTGTAGAATGTTCTTGCAGTTTGTAAGAAGGCTTCCATGGGAAGCTTCTACATGACACTTTCTTGTGTGTTCTAGAATGCTCCTAAAGAGCCTATAAAAAGGAAAGGGGCTCATTTGCTCCAATCAATCCAAGAGTTGTATAAGTCCCTTTAAAGTGAATACAGAGACATTCTCGCAAACTCTCTGTCTTCTCACTTGTCTTTCTTGCAAATTTGTGGGTTAGGCTGACTTAGCATCACCAAGCAAGACTTGTGATTGTCTAAGTGCCACACGGATAACTTGGAAATAAACAAGGCCGTGACATGTAGCTGGCAAAAAGAGAATGTCCAAGCTCCTACGATTCCCTATAGCTATAACATATTTCATACAAAGAATAACTTATAAGTTAGTTTAAAATTTTTTATTTTTTATTTTTTTGTTAACTCATTACTTCTTTTGTTTTGTTTTTTATTTTTTTTAATAGTCCACTTCATTTTTAATAGAGGCACAAGATAGTCTTGACGATGGTGCTTTAACTATATTTGAGATCGATGGTGTTAGGAAGAGATATCGGCTCAATCGTTTTCATATAGTGGTTGAAGTAGAAATACTGTACAATAAAATCATGGAACATCCGAACAGTCATATATACACCCCTCTTCTAATTTTCCAAGTCAAGGAGGACAGTGGCAACGAGTGTACGGAAGAATTGCATTTTGTTGCCATACCTCAAAGGGGAGTTGCAATTGAAGATTTTTTGAAAACATCGTCAAATAGGGATTCACTCTTTGATTCTCTCCATTCGGATTAATATAAGAAACTAATGAAAGAGATTATCAAAGTTGTTATTCATCTAAAGGACATAAGTGATTTAACAATCAAATTAGGTCTTCAAACTGTCACAGTATTACATGACAGACAATTTTCTCAACATTTTATTGCCAAATATTTTGGTGTCAAAATTTTTAGTAAGTTGAAATTCTGCTTGTAAAAATGATTTATTTATTTACTTATTTATTTATTCTTATGGAATTTTTATCTTTATGTATTGTAATATAGGAGAGCAAAATAAGGTGTTAGGTTTTTGTAATTGGCAATCCTGTTTGATAAAATTTTTTTCAGTTGTAATTTTATTTGATCTTTTATTTGAGTGAGGCTGTGAGCATTTAGATGCGATTCCAACCTGAATTGTGCTTATGCAGAGGAGTTTGTGATCTTAATCCTATCATGTTTGCCACTTCGCTGACTATGTCACGACCTTTCAGAAGTTTCACTCGCCTGCAAAAGTACTGGAAGTTGTTTTTTTCTGCTCGAGCAACCATTCCTGTGTTCGAGCATAAACCCTGTTTAGTCTCACGCGTTTTAGTCACTTTGCTCAAGCGGCCATTCTTGCCCTCGAGCGGAGATTGCGGATCTGTTTGCTATAAAAGCTGTGGTTTAGTCAGGTGTTAGGGTACGGCTTCCAGATCTTCTTCTTAGGTATTAGGGTTTTCTTCTAGAGCTTCTTTGCTTGTTTCCTTTGATATCTGTGAGAGTTTAATTATGAATTGAGTGGATTATGTCAAAGGGTTTGTTTAGTTTGTTTTATTCACTCAGCAGCATCGATATCAGTCTTCGTCCTCGTATAGATCAATTTGATAAATGCTAACAACTTTGATGAGGGAGTTATTACCTTATGAAAAATCTAAAATCCCGGATATATTGATTTGTGATTATGTACTAATTTTAAACAGTAAATAACAATCTCAATCAAACAACCAAAGACAAATTGACACAACAATTTTGCGTGAAAAAATCACAATTGGAGCGCCTCCAATTGTGATAAAAAATCACGGGCCAAGGCCACAAAACAATTCACTAAGAAGGCACAAATGAATTACACAAGTGTACTCTCAATTTCCTAATGAATTCACGCTTGAATTGAACCGACCCCTATGTGCCTCTTCCAGCCCCGTCTTCACCTCAGAATTGTCTTGCCCAACGTTGAATCCACAACGCCGATGTCGAATCCACGACGATGAGCCACTCCGAAATCCACTAAAGCTTCAGGCTTATGTTCCACGGAACCCACCAATGCGGATATTAAATTGGTTGGCATTTATCAAATTGATCTATACGGGGACAAAGATTGATATCGATGCTGCCGAGTGAATAAAACAAATTAAACAAACCCTTTGATATAATCCACTCAATTCATGATTAAACTCTCACAAATATCAAAGGAAACAAGCAAAAAAGTTCCAGAAGAAAACTCTAATACCTAAGAAGAAGATC